GTGTTCATGGTTGTCAGCATATTTTAATTACAAGTACAAACTTATACAGAAGGGTACTCCCTACGCATCATGGGTAGTTGCGCTGCAAATTCCACTGCATTGGCCACCAACTCCCTTCTGGAACTTTCCTTTCTCCAATCCCCCCTGTCCATTTAAAAAAAATGGAAGAGAACGAATCCACGTGGCACGTGACCGGATGAAATGACGATTATAACCCTAATTGGAACCGGAACCAACCAAAGCCAAGTCGATAGCAGGACAAACATCAGTGTCCAACGTTAGTGCTTTTCCAGCTCTCTCTCGGACTCGGTCTCCGCTCGCCAGGTCCGGTCATCCCTCCTCCTCTCTCTCCCCCTCGCTGGTTCCGGCGTTCGCCGACTAGAAAGCGGTTTCAGAAACTCCGCTAACGTCAGTCTCTTTTATCCCCGGTGGCTCTCTCAGGCATCAAATCGCTATGAGTACCGGCGAGCTTCTTGGCATCGAGCCTCAGGAGCTCCAATTTCCCTGTAAGTTTCTCCCTATGAAATCTCCTCCTAAACTCACGCCGTTTTGTTCTGAGATCCGTGCCTTCATTTTCATGTCAAGTTTCTTGTGTCCTCTGATTTGTGTATTTCTTGTTCTTAAAAAGTTGAGCTGAAGAAGCAGATCTCGTGCTCTCTAAATTTGTGCAACAAGACCGACAATTATGTTGCTTTTAAGGTAATTATGCTAATTCTCAAATTTTGTGCATCTTCTGTCATTACTTGCGATAACTTTTTGTGGAGATTTTGTTTCGGTTTTATTATGATGCAAAGAAGATGTTAAGCTTTTTTGGATATGGGATTGATGTTTTGTTTCAGGTGAAAACGACAAATCCAAAGAAGTATTGTGTGAGGCCTAACACTGGAGTCGTGTTGCCGAGGTCGATTTGTAATGTTATAGGTCTCTCTCATATCAGTTTTGAGCTACATTATGTTTTCCAGAATTGTTTCCTCTAGAGTTTTGTTCTAGATTTTCCTACTGTATATTTTGGACAATAATTAGCCTCTTTCTGGTTTGGAATCATTATAATTGGCTTATTTATAAATCAGTTACAATGCAAGCACAAAAAGAGGTGCCTCCTGATATGCAATGCAAGGATAAATTCCTACTTCAGACTGTAGTTGCAAGTCCTGGAGCAACGGCAAAGGATGTAACTCCTGAGATGGTACTATGTGCTTTTGATGTTGGTTGTTCGCGACATTTTCAGGGTTCTTACACAAATCATGTCTGGATAAGATTTTCTAATTCCTTCTTTTTGAAACTTTAGTTCAATAAGGAAGCAGGGCATCATGTTGAGGAGTGCAAATTAAGGGTTGTTTATGTTGCACCTCCTCGACCTCCATCACCAGTTAGAGAAGGCTCTGAGGAAGGTTCCTCACCTAGGGCTTCACTCTCTGAGAATGGAAATTTGAATGCTTCAGAATTTAAAACTGTGAGTAATTTAGGTCTTGCTACCTTTGGATTAGGATCTTCTGTTGCTTGTTAACTGTCTCCTTGTTAAGTTGTAACCATATGACTTTCCCTGCCTACAGGGCACAAGAGCTTATATTGAGCAGCATGATCCGCAAGATAAATCATCTGAGGTACACACTGTCTCTCATGCACACGCATTCATTTGGCAATTTTAGCCCTCATATGAAGCTTAATTGAATTGTACCAGAAACTTCAAAATCTCCTGGGCTTGTACTTTCGTTGCATGTGGGTGGACCATTTTCTGGGCATATATGATATCTATGCTTTTGTTTCCAATGCATGCTTTCCATCTTTGGCAATACTTGGTCCTTGTGTTTCGTTGTTGTCTAAATTTTCTTTTCCTCCAATCATCTTCCCTTATCCTCAGTAATTAATTAATTTAGTATTTGAACACCCATCACTTGGACAAAGTGCTCATTCTAGTTGCTTTTGAGGATAGACCATGCCCATTTTTTCTGCTAAGTTGATTTGTTGGGAATGCTTTAATTCTAGATGGGACTTAAGGTGATCATTTTTTCCTTTCATTTGATTTGTTTTTAAGGCTCTTTATATGCTTATTAAGCTTGCTTCCTAATGAGAGGTAGCCTCATTCAAGTTCCTCATCTAGACACTGGTTCAAACCATTATTAACTGCTACATACATTTCCCTTTAGAAGGAATGGTGCGACAATTAGAACTGAAGGTTTGATTCTGACATGGACAATTTCTTTAAGTTATCTCCACTCCTTACACCATCTTTTTTTCAAATGGTGCACCAACAGCTGTTTGTTGGTTACCAACTTTAGGGATCTGCTTGGCATCATTAAACTTTTGTTTGCTGATTGAATCAATCAAGACAAAAGTTATTTCGATAGCAGTGACCATGTTTGAGTGTTGGCATCTAATTCTCTAAGGGCAACCCTTAATAGTAGGTGGGAATATAATAAATAGGGTCAGCATTTTTTCTGGGTCAGCATTTTTTCTGGTAAAGATGTCAACTAGATGTAAGCTAGGCTGTATCAGATAGGCACTCTTAACAATCTTGCCAACTCTTTTGCATATGGAGTTATGTTTTCTTCTACGAGTAACTTTTTTAAAGCTTTTTTTCTCATCTACATTGGACTATGCTATGCAAAGTTCATTGCCAATGTCTTGTGCATTGAAGGTTTTATGTTTCTTTAAATAGGGTTTTGTTTTCTTGGTTATCAATTATCACACTCATCAGCTTATGGATCTTGTATTTTATTTACTCTGCCAACAAATCTAATGCAGATGTGATCTAGAAATGTTCACTATAACAAGATTGTCAATTTTAAATGTTCTGCTTGGATATGAATAATATATGCAGTGTACAATTCTGAATGAAAATACCTTTACTTCCAGGCAAGGACTATCATTTTAAAGCTGACTGAGGAGAGAGATTCTGCTATTCGGCAAAACAAGCAGCTTCAGCAAGAACTAGTAAGCCTTTCATATCTTTGAAATATTTTTGCCCAAGTATTTTGAAATTAAATTTTTTTTGTTCAGCACCTGTTCCCAGGTGCCAAGATATTTTGAGAGTTTCATATAAATGTGCTCAATAATATTCTCTCCTTTTTTTCTTTTTTTTTTTCCATCCTAAGAATCTTTCCATCCAAAGACTCATAATTAATAGCATCAGAATAATATGTAACCTGTTGTGATTCTTCTTGTAGGTGCACTTGACACCAGTTATTAACTAGAGTTTGCCTTTTTTCCTATTTGTTTGAAACAGAACATGAAATAAACATCTACATAGAGTTCAATCCCTAGTTTTCTATGTTGCAGTTCACAACATCAAATCTCTACATATCCAAAAATCAATTTATCATTGTGTTTATGTTTTTCTTTTTTTTTTTATTCTTTTTGGATAAGCTGTGTTTTATGTTAATTTATTACCATCTTCTTAATTTGCAGGAGCTCTTGAGGCGGGAACGCAAAAGGAGTAACGGTGGTGTTTCATTGATATTCATCTTTCTTGTTGGCTTGTTTAGCATCCTTTTGGGATACCTCATTAAGAGTACATGGTTACTTAACTCTTTTACTCGCTGATGTTATATTGGATCTAGACGGAAAAATCTAGAAAATTGGAAAAACCGCATCTGAGTGGTGAATCAGGGCTTTTGTCAGTCATAATACACCGCTGGTCTGTATTAAACTAGATCGATCTCCTGCGTGTGATGGATTAGAAATTTCATTATATCACCATGTATGGACAGTAGAGGAATTTACTGGATTTTGTAACTGCAGCCAACTTCCTCATGACTGTTCCTAGTTTACATTTTATTTATAATATAATTGTTAAAAAATGAAACTGTGACTTAAATTCATTAAAGAAACATGTGTGCTTCAACTTTGATAAAAAAAAAAGGCAAAAATATGACATAAGGACCCGAACTTACACCAAATTTGCAATTTCGGACCTAAACTTTGATTGCGCTCAATGAAGGTCCCGAACTCCACGAAATTCTCAAATAAGGTCCCAATTGGACGGAAAACTAACTTCCGTCAAATCTCCTATTATTCCGTTATTGTTCCGTTACATTTCACACCCGCCACTTTAAAAAAATTGGTTAAATGCTAATTTTGGTCCCTCAACTTCATTGAATTTCACTTTTTTGTCCCTCAACTTCATTAAATTTCACTTTTTTGTCCCTTAACTTCATTAAATTTCACTTTTTTATCCCTCAACTTTATTGAATTGTACTTTTTTTGTTCATAAATTATTTTTTGTACTTTTTTTATTCTTAAATTATTTTTTACACTTTTTTAATCCCTTAACTTTAATAACTACACAATTTTGATACTTTCATCAGTTTAAGCCATTAACTCCGTCCACTTGGTATTTTTTCTATTTTTTTGATGAAATGTATAATCTAACTGAAAAAAAATAATAATATAGATCATCTAACTAAAAATAATGATGACATGGATAAATAAAATAATATGTAGATAAATTTTCATATTTTTAATAAAAATAAAAAAACCTCTCCACCTATTTTCTTCCCCTGCTAGAAGAAAGAGAAAAAAAGAGAGGGAAGAAAATAGGTAGAGAGGTTTTTATATTTTTTTTTATAAAAAATATAAAGATTTATCTACATGTTATTTTATTTACCCATGTTATCATTTTTTTCCAATTAGATTATATATGTCATCAAAAAAATATAAAAAATACTAAGTGGACGAAGTTAATGGCTTAAACTGATGAAAGTATCAAAATTGTGCAGTTATTAAAGTTAAGGGATTAAAAAAGTGTAAAAAATAATTTAAGGACAAAAAAAGTACAAAAAATAGTTTATGAACCAAAAAAATACAATTCAATAAAGTTGAGAGATAAAAAATGAAATTTAATGAAGTTAAGGGACAAAAAAGTGAAATTTAATGAAGTTGAGGGACAAAAAAGTGAAACTCAATGAAGTTGAGGGACCAAAATTAGCATTTAACCAATTTTTTT